TAAAATTTAAAAAAGAGAAATAAACGCAGACATCTACTGTCAATCTATGACAAAGGAGACAAGAATATACAATGGAGAAAAGACAGTCTCTTCAACAAGTGGTGCTAGGAAAACTGGACAGCTACATGTAAAATGATGAAATTAGAACATTCCTTTATACCATATATAAAAATAAACTTAAATGGTTTAAAGATCTTAATGTAACACCTGAAACCATAAAACTTCTAGAAGAAAACATAGATGGACATAAATTGCAGCAATATTTTCTTGGATCAGTCTCCTAAGGCAACAGAAATGAAAGCAAAAACAAACAAGTGGGGCCTAATTAAACTTAAAAGCTACTGCATAGCCAAGGAAACCATTGACAAATAGAAAAGACAACCTATGGAATGGGAGAATATATTTGCAAATGATGTGGTCAATAAGGGGTTAATATTCAAACTATAGAAACAGCTCATACAACCCAACAGCAAAAAAAAAAAAACAATCCAATCAAAAAATTAGAAGACTCGGGGTTGGGGTGTATAGCTCAGTGGTGGAACACATGCTCGGTGTGCATGAGGTCCTGGGTTCAATCCCCAGTGCCTCTCTTAAGGGATAAAAAAGGGAGAGGAGGGGAATCTGAATACACATTTTTCCACAGAAGACATATAAATGGCCAACAGGCACATGAAAAGATGTTCAACATCGCTAATCATCAGGGAAATGCAAATCAAAACCACAATACGGTATCACTTCACACCTGTCAGAAATAGCTATCATGTTAAAAATAACAAATGTTGGATGTGGAGGAAAGGGAACCCTCATACACTGTTGGTGGGAAGATACACTGGCACAGTCCCTGTGGAAAACAGTATGGAGGTTCCTCAAAACACTAAAAATATAACTACTATATCAACCAGCAATCCCACTCCTAGGCATATACCCAGAAAAAACAAAACAGTAATTCAAACAGATACATGCACTCCAAAGTTCATAGCAGCACTATTTACAATAGCCAAGACAGGGAAGCAACCCAAGTGCAAATCAACAGATGATTGGTTAAAGAATATGTGGTATATGTATATACAATGGAATATTATTCATCCATAAAAAGAATGAAATACCGCTATTTGCAGCAATGTGGAATATTGTACTTAGTGAAATAAGGCAGAAAGGCAAATACTATGCGATATCACGTACATATGGAATCTATAAAATAATACAAATGAATGTATATGCAAAACAGAAACAGACTCACAGATATAGAAAACAAACTTGTGGTTAGCAAAGGGGTAGAGGGAAGCGAGGAGAGACAAATTAGGGGTATAAGAATAACAGATACAAACTAATATATATAACATAGGTAAGCAACAAGGATATACTCTGTAGCACCAGAATTATACCCATTATTTTATAATAACCTATAACAGAATACTAAAAAAATACTGAATCACTATGCTATACACCTGAAACTAATACAATATTGCAAATCATCTATATTTCAATAATTTAAAAAATTGCAACAATAAAAAGAAAAAAATGAGAAAATATTTTGTCAGGAATCCAGGTAATTACAAGGAGTAAACGAGTGATGATATATATGGAGCAGTATTAACAATATGGTCTTTTCATAGAAAACAAATTTATGATTATCAAGGGGAAAGGGCTGGGGGAAGGATAAACTGGGAGTTTGGGATTCACAGATACAAGCTACTATATACAGAACAGATCAAGAAAAAAGTCCTACTGTATAGCTCAGGGACCTATATTCAATAGCTTGTAATAATATATAATGAAAAAGAATATAGGTATAGCTGAATCACTATGCTGTACGCCAGTAACTAACACAACATTGTAAATCAATTGTATGTTAAAAAAATTCAAATTATCACGCTGTAAAGAAAAAAACCAAACCAAACCAATGTGATCCTCTAAGAATTAGGCAGTCTTGTACTAGGCAGTCTCTTAAGTGGGATCAAAGTCAATAAAATCCTAAAGTCTTTGTCAAATCTTAGAGAAGTAAAATACATGATTAAAAACAGGGAAAAAATGCAGAACTGGTACTAAACTAAGACAGATACAACAGTCAAATGTTTTTAAGTTATTTGGCAGAAAATACATATATATATATATATATATATACACACACATATATATATACACACACACACATATACATACAGAAGAAAGGAAATAATACCTCCAATTTTAAATTGTGTATTGTCTCTTGGTAGAGAGATTATGAGTGATTTTCATTTCCTTAATAAATTATTTATCTTCTAAAATTTGTTTTAGAATGAATATTTTACCTTTATAACTACAACAATTTAACAGCAAGTATTAGGTCAAATTATGATGACTCAATATTTAATTTTTATTGGAAAGGAGAATGCTTTTTATTAGCCAACCCCAGGAAAGCTAACTTTGAAAATCCATAAAATGCCCTTGTTTCCATTTTAAGAGACTCTGTATGATGAAATAGTCATTCCAATTCTTGTGTTTTTATTTAGTTGGATAAAGATTAAAATTTATAACCCAAATATAGACGAGTTCTCATTTGGAGCTCGGAAAGTCAAAAGATGACATAATCCAATTCTGATTATTCATGGGGCAGATAATTCTTTCATCTTTTTTTTTTTACATTTTTATTGATTCATATTCATTTTACAGTGTTGTGTCAAATTCCAGTGCTCAGTACAATTTTTCAGTCATACATGGACATATACACACTCATTGTCACATTTTTTTCTCTGTGATTTATAACATTTTGTGTATATTTCCCTGTGCTATACAGTGTAATCTTGTTTATCTGTTCTACAATTTTGAAATCCCAGTCTATCCCTTCCCACCCTCTACCCCGCCCCCCCCGTAACCA